AGCCAGTGAGAATCAAACCTTGGAGGCTATAGGATCATTGCCCAAACTAATCCATCCAACCCCTTAGACCTCTATTGTCTAGAGCAAGAGATATTGGAGCTCTTAGTGGATCTTTTCCAGCGAATGCCATCACTTTCGTGTGGGGAGTCGCCTAAGGACTTACAAGCCAGGGGTAGTGGTCATGTAGCCTTAAGATCTATCCAAAAGATAGAGAATCTAGATTAAGACCATAAGCTAGAAGAATTAAGCATATGAAACCTCTAATCTATCCCATCTCAAACCCTAATGGGTGACTACTCACTACACATGAATGTAAACACAAGGAAATGCAATAAAAGAGACATCGTAAGAAAGAGGAGATGAAATTAAACAACTTTTATTGAAATAAGCAAGTGCAAATACAAGAGAGATTAACCAAGATCTAGGATTCAAGAAGCAAGAGCTTCAAGAACACAAAGATGAGATTAGATCTCTAAAAAGTAAAAGTACAATAAATTAAAAGAAACTAAAACAAAAATAATGTAAAGCTTGGTCGTTTTTTCGTGGCTTAGAGCCTTTAAATACAAGAGGTTTTAGGTTTAGGGTCAAAGGAAAGTCAAGGGGGAAGCAACATTTTTCGGGTTTGACTGTTGACTTCTCAGCTCGATCGAGTTGAAGCTTGGCCGGTCGAGCTGGTCTTCAAGATGGCTTCTCCCTTCTTTTTACTTTTTTTAAACACTGCCAACTCCCTGGACTAAACTCTTTTTACTTTGGGTTTTTCCCAACTTTTACCACTTTTCTGGTTTTTGACACCCAACTCGATCGAGCTCGAGTTGGCACCCCCAAACTTAGCCTGAAAACAATCCCAAGAGAACTAGACAACTAGAACTACTGCCCCTGCCGGTTTAAACACAACACCTTATGCTAAGCAAAGCCAAGAAAGGTTCTCACATTCGCACAAGAGATAATATGGGGTTTGAAATGAAAAAGGCTTAGGTTTAAGGTGTGGTAACTGTCTCAAAGATAGAGATCAGCTATCTGGACAAGCAAAGGGATATGAAATAGGTAAAGAATGTCCAGATATGTATGTGGTAGCCATGAGTTGAAATCAAATGCAAGCATTGGTAATTAAAGATCAAGTTATGGTTCAAATAGATAGGGAAATGCATCAAATCACAGCAATGGTTGAATGAGATGTGCATGCAGTGATATGATCAAGATAAACATGGTTCTTGCTGCTCAATCAATCTCACCCTAATGCACAAAAGAATCTAAAAACAGGGCACTCAAGAAATCGCAAAAGATGGACAAGTTTTCAAAGTCAAATCAACAATGCAAGTGAAAAATGCAATCCTAAACAAGTCTAACAAATATGAATGCAAAAAGATGAAAATATTTTTGGATTTTTTGAAAATTTTATGATTTTTTTGGTTTTTCTATGCAAAAGATAAATGAAAAACTAAGAACAAAGAAAACAAGGTTAAATCATCTCTTGAACCCTCCCCCAAACTTAAATCACACAGTCCCTTGTGTGAGAAAAATTAGTGAAAGATTCAAGAGGGCAAAACCAAGAAAAAACAAGAACAAATGCAAGAAAATATGAAATGGTATATACAAGGGTTGGTGTTTGGATACCTCAGTGCCCCCCAAAGAACTGGGAGGCTAGGTCGTGGTCTGGAGATGGGAGACGGCCATCAGGAGCACTCCACGCAACTGGGTTCACGCTCACTCGATCGAGCTTGCTCGTGCTCGATCGAGTTGTGCCTCGAGTTGCCCTCTTCTTCCCAAAACCTGCTCCTGTAAGACTTAGCCAAGAAAATCATAAAAATAAAAGGATAAAATAAATATATAAGATAGACATGGGAATTCCTCCCAAGTGAGCTTGTTTTAGGTCTCTTAGCTTGACCTTACCCCTTTTAGGCCGGGGTTGGATCTTCTAGAGGAGTGATGATCTCCTCTGTGGGGGTCATTCCTAGATATGGCTTGCATCTATGTCCATTCACTGTGAATTCCTTCCCCTCTTGATTGAGTAAAGTGAGGGATCCATAGGGTAGAACTTCGTGAATCTTGAATGGTCCCGCCCACTTTGACCTTAGCTTCCCGGGAAACAACCTTAGCTTGGAGTTATACAAGAGCACACTGTCCCCAACCTTGAAGTCTTAAGGCGAATCAGTTTGTCGTGGGCTGCCTTGGTTCTCATCTTATAGATCATGGAGTTCTCATAGGCATTCATTCTGATTTCCTCCAACTCAAACAAGTTCATTACTTCTTCTTGTGCTGCCTTTATATCAAAGTTCAGCATCTTTACTGCCCATAGTGCCTTGTACTCGACCTCCACAGGTAAGTGGCAATCCTTTCCATACAGTAAGTTGAAAGGGACCTTCCAATGGGGGTTTTGTAAGCTGTTCTATAAGCCCAAAGAGCTTCATCAAGCCTTGCTGCCCAATCTTTCCTAGTGAAGCTCACTGTCTTCTCAATATGGCCTTATCTGTCTATTGGAGACCTCAACTTGCCCACTGGTTTGAGGGTGGTAAGGGTGTAGCGACCTTGTGCTTGACTCCATAACTCTTCATCAACTTTTCAAACACCTTGTTGATGAAATGGGAACCTCCATCGAAATAACAACCCTTGGGATGCCATATCTTGGAAAGATGATGGTTCTGAAAATTTGATAACAACCTTGGCATCACAGGTTGGGCAGGGGATGGCTTCAATCCATTTGGACACATAGTCCACACAACAAGAATGTAGTTGTGCCCGTTTGAGGAAGGCTTGAAAGGTCCCATGAAGTCTATTCCCCATACATCAAAGATCTCAACTTCTAGAATTGGGTTTAGTGGCATCTCGTCCTCTTGGTGATCTCCTTTCCTTTGGCATGGATCACACTTGGCAATGTAGTTGCTGCATCTTTAAACAAGTAGGCCACCATAAACCAGATTGCAGAACCTTAGTTGCTGTTTTGAATGTAGCAAAGTGACCTCCATAAGCTGACCCATGGCAATGCTCTAGAACTCCTTGCACATCCTCTTCAGCAATGCATCTCCTGTAAATGCTGTCTGGTCCTCTCTTGTAAGGTAGGGCTCATCCCAATAGTAATGCCTAGCATCCTTGAAGAATTTCTTTCTCTTGTAAGCATCAAAGCTACTAGGGACTTCTCCGGACACCATGAAGTTCACTATATCAGCATACCATGGCAAATTCTCATCACGCAGAGCCTTAACTTCTTCCAGCCTGGCTTTCTCATCAAAACTCTCCTTCAAGATCATGATTGCCATAAGCTGTTCTTCAGGCATAGAATCATTGATGGGGATCATGTCTTCAACTCGCATCCTAGAGAGATGATCAGCAACTCCATTTTCTACTCCCTTTTTGTCCACAACTTCTATATCAAACTCTTGAAGCAAAAGGATCCATCTGAGAAGTCTTGGCTTTGTATCTTTTTAGCGAAGATGTGTCTAAGGGCAGCATGGTCAGTGTGCACAATCACCTTGGATCCAACTATATAGCTTCGAAACTTCTCAAAGGCAAAGACTATGGCAAGGAGTTCCTTCTCTGTGGTTGCATACTTGCACTGAGCATCATCCATAGTCTTGCTTGCATAGTAGATGACATTGAGTTTCTTGTCTATCTTTTGGCCAAGCACTGCTCCCACTGCATAGTCAGATGCATCACACATAATCTCAAATGGGTGATCCCAGTTTGGAGCTTGTACTATTGGCGCAGACACCAGAGCATCCTTCAGCAAGGTCCAAGACTTGTGGCATTCTTCATCAAACTCAAAATCTGTCTCCTTGCACAGAAGCCTTGTCAAGGGTCTTGCTATCTTTGAGAAATCCTTGATGAATCTTCTGTAGAACCCTGCATGACCCAGAAAACTCCTTATGTCCTTCACAGTCTTGGGAACAGGGAGCTGCAACATGACATCCACCTTAGCTCGATCGAGCTCGATCCCTTTCTCGGAAATCTTGTGTCCAAGCACAATCCCTTCTCGAACCATGAAGTGGCACTTCTCCCAGTTGAGTACTAGATTGGTCTCCTCACACCTCTGCAACACCCTGCACAAGTTAGACAAACATGAGGAGAAGGATGCTCCATAGACTGAGAAATCGTCCATGAAGACTTCTACCATCTCCTCTATCAGATCTGAAAAAATGGAGGTCATGCACCTCTGGAAAGTAGCTGGAGCATTGCACAGCCCAAATGGCATCCTTCGATAAGCAAAGGTGCCATAAGGGCATGTGAAAGTGGTCTTCTCCTGATCATTAGGGTGGATCGGGATTTGGAAGAAACCACTGTAGCCATCAAGAAAACAATAAAAAGGGGTGGTTTGCCAATCTTTCTAACATCTGATCAATGAAAGGGAGAGGGAAATGATCCTTTCTAGATGCTGAATTTAGCTTCCTATAGTCAATACACATGCGATGCCCCACTATTGTTCTAGTGGGAATCAGCTCCTCTTTGTCGTTTTTAATGACAGTGATCCCCCCTTTCTTTGGGACGCAATGAACTGGAGATATCCAAGTGCTATCACTGATGGGATAGATTATCCCAGCATCAAGCAACTTGAGTATCTCTTTCTTCACTACTTCCTTTAGATTGGGGTTCAACCTTCTCTGAGGTTCAATGCTTGACTTACTTTCATCCTCTAGATGAATCCTATGGATGCATAGGTCAGGGGAGATCCCCTTGATATCATCTAGAGTGTAACCTATTGCCTTTCTGTACTTTCTCAATTCAACAAGCAAAGCACTCAACTGTTCAGGTTCCAAATCAGAGTTCACAATGACAGGGTAAGTTGAGTTTTCACCCAGAAATGCATACCTGAGGCCCTCAGGCAAAGGTTTGAGGTCGACTTTAGGTGCCTTGAGCTCAGACCAATCTCCTTGAGCTTGCTCCTTGCATTCAGTCCCCAGCTCGATCGAGTTCGTTTGTTCGAGCTCGACTCGATCGAGTTCTTGATCGAGCTCACTGCCATGACTTCGCAAACTGGCCTGTCCAATCCTCAATGCTCAGAATGTTTGGAACTGGTCTGAAGGTGTCAAGGAGCTTCTTGTACTCATCAGTTTCTGAGCTCACATATCCCTCTGAAGAATCCTTGGTCAAAGCAACTTGTAGAGGATCCTCTGTTGATAACTCTTCTAGAAGCTCATCTGCCAACTGATCCATTTCCTCAACATAAAAGAGCTGACCTTCTATAGTTGGTTTCCTCATTGTATCTTTTATATCAAACTTCATCTTCAGGTCCTTTCCCAAGTTTAACTCAATTGTTCCTTCACAGACATCTATCATTGCTCTTGCTGTAGCTAGGAATGGCCTTCCTAGAATCAATGGATCTGTTGGTTCCTCATCCATCTCAAGCACAATGAAGTCTGTGGGGATTTCCACATTCCCTATCCTCAAAGGCAGGTCTTCAAGCATCCCAGTTGGTAACCTTATCGATCTATCTGCCAAGACTAGTGAGATTCCGCAGGCTTGGTACTTGTGATATCCCAGTCTCTTTGCTACAGACAAAGGCATGAGGCTGACAGATGATCCTAGATCGCAGAGACTGTTTTTGAAAGATAGGGGTCCTAACATGCAGGGCAAAGTGAAACTCCCCGGATCTTCCTTTTTGTCGGAGATGACCTTCCGCTGAATGATTGCACTGCACTCGCGGGTCAACACTACCATCCCTTGTGCTTCCCTGGTTCTTTGCTGAACAGCATCCTTCAGAAATTTCTGATAAGGCGGAATGAGCATCAAGGCGTCGATGAAGGGCAACTTCAACTCAAGCTGTCTCATTAGTTCATCAAACTTGGCCTTGTGTGCTTCCAACAGTTGTTTCTTGAACCTTCCTGGAAAGGGCAGAGGGGGCTTGTATGGTGGTGGTCCTGCTGGAGTGTCTTTCTTCTTTGCAACAGGTTTAGCTGGTTGGCTGGGTTTGCTTTGTCTGTTCTCTTCTGGCTCGATCGAGCTCTGGTTTGTCTTGCAGTGTCTCAGTTCTCTCAGCTCGATCGAGTTCTGGTTCAGGGTTTTGTTCCAGCTCGATCGAGTTCGGGTCGAGTTATCAGCATAGTCGACTAAATCCTCCCCTTCCTCGTCATCGATGTCCACAGCGATTTGGGGTGGGCTACCTCTACTCGGGAATTGCCTCCCACTTCTTAGTGTAACTGGTTGGGTGATTGCGCTGCATCTTATGGGATGAGTACAAGTAATAATTCCCTAAGACAACTAGAGTTGCAAGTGCACAACATATAATTGTAGTATTTAGGGGTCGAACCACAAGGGATTGGATTTCACACATTACATAATCATAGAGTTCAAATGACTAAGCTAAATCAAAAGATGCAAGGGTTTGTGTTTGTTTAGAACACGCAAAAGCAAATAACAATGCAATTCTATACAAGCAACATTATTGAACTATTGAAAACTCTTTTGAAAACATGAGCCAAGTCGATTGAAAAGTTTGTTAAAATCCGATTCTTTTGAACTCAAAACACTAAGGAAGGATTATTCCACTTTCGTGGTTCCAATCCCCTATGTCTCTTAAACCAATGGGCTCAGCTTTCGTTGGTCATTGTAGAGTGAGACATGCATTACATCCAAGTAATGATTGTTCACAAAACTCTTTAGGTCTACTTTCGTAGCCTAAAACGATTTGCCCATCAAATATTATGTCCGGAGATATAACAAGCTTTTGGAGAGTATATCAACCTAAAATCAAGTCACTAGTTAGCTACTCTAGCAACAGGCATTAAGCATAAATAAAGATGGAGAACCATAGGGTTTCCCCTTTTAACAATCGATTTTCGATGGCCATTATATCACGTCCTCATTGGAAGGATCCATAATTCAACAATGAGTCTTAGATAGTAGATGAAGTCTCATGAATCCTTAGAGAGAGAGGCGGCGGAATATAGACTAAACCGTGCCTCACCCTTAGGGAGAAATCTCTACTTCTAGACTATATAAATTGAAACATGCAAGCTATATACAAATGCAAAAGAAGAAAAGAAAGAAGAAGGAGACCACCTAAGTGGCTCCGAACTTTATTGAATAAGTGTTTCTTGTTATGCGGCTGGTGATTCTTATTACAAGAGGCTAAAAGCAAGTATATATAGGTAGAGAGCGGGTCTAGGTCGGCAAAGTTGAGCGCGCGCAGAAGAGGAAAGTTTCCATTTCTCTTTAGCCGCTTGAGCTTGCTCTCCAAGTTCTTGAATGGGCCGCGTTCAGGCCAATGGAAGCTTCTGGATTGAGTTATGCTAGTGTCAAGATGAGCCAAGGCCTTGGGCGCGGTATCCGGGCCTCTTGATCCATCAAAGTCTCCATGGGCTCTACTTAGGCGCTCGTCGGACATGTCTTGGTAGAAAATAAGTTCCGGTCCAACGAGTGATCCAAATGACCTCTTTCCACTTCGCCGCGGGTCACGACTCAAATATCTATCTTTCCATATAAGAATCATGACTTTTGGACGTCGGGAAGGCATGAACATGCGGTCGTACTTCGGATGCTCCGGTTTGGTCTTTAGCGAGAAATGTATTTTGGTGCTCTAGACTTGGGAACTTGGTGATTTGACTCTTTTTGCTCCATTTTGGACTCTTCTTTGCTATTTTGACCTGAATGATGCTCAAAACCAGAATATACAAGAAAACTACCTCTTGGGCTTAAAAACCACATTATTTGTATTAAAAACATAGTGAAAACCTTGATAAAAACATGAAAGATATGGGTATATCAACTCCCCCAGACTTAGCCTTTTGCTTGTCCCCAAGCAAACTAAGAGAGGAAGAGAGGTTTGAAAACGCAAGAACTCTCAAATCATTAGGAAATCCGGGTTGGCTTGGTTTTAGTAATCCACATGAAAGTAGTAAAGGCAAATATTTGAATTAAGAACAAGAGTACATACCATGAGTTTTGCGATTTTTCCAAGGCGGCCCACCTCTCTTTGGACAATCCAATTCACCCTCCTTGACTCCTTTCATTTCTAAAGGTGTGGTCTCAACTAGGGAGTATCGATCAGCCGGCTTTAGACTCTTACTCATCCCCTTGTTTTGGCACTTGTCTTTTTACTCCATGTTTCTCCTCTCTCTCTTCTCACTTCTTTGAGTTGACTCATCCCTTTTTTAGGGTAGCGAAGTATTTTTTTATTCAACTCCTTCTCTTTATTATAGAGGTTTTGCTTGGATCTTCCACAGACGCGAGTATTGATGGTGTTTGCCACCGAATCCCCGGTTGCTTGGATTCATAGGCCTTCCATAGACGCGAGTATTGATGGTGTTTGCCACCGAATCCCCGGTTATTTGGACCTTACGCTTTTTCTTTAAATTTGAAGGGGAGAGAGAGGGAAGCACGAACTCACTAAGACTTTTTCATTTGATGGAGAGGATGAGGAATCATGCCATTTGTATGCCAAGCCCCTAGCTGAGAAGATTAAGTTCATTAAGGGCGGAGTCAAGAGTGGATCCTTCTCAAGTCCTTGGAGGTGTGGGCGTTTTTGGTAGATCGATCAACTCATAGTGTCCCTGTGGTAAGATGTATTGCCAAGACTGCTTCAATGGTCACTTAAACGTTAGCACAACAATGGTTAGATCCAAGATAAGGTCATAATCCTTTGACAAAATTTTGACTCAATAAAACGACTCAATGAAATTCAAAAAGAACAAACTTGTTAGTAATCCCCCCAGACTTAACTTGCACCGTCTCGGTGTAAGAAAAATCCAATTAAGAGAGGTAATGATAAATAGAATGGAAAAGTTAGAGTTTGTAGAAAATTGTACCCAAATTTTTGGCCTTTGATGTGAAGATCGGTTGTGCTTGAGTTGCTTCCAGGAATGACTGACTGGTGCAAACATCATAGCTGTTGGATTTGGTTGGATGAATGTGACAATTCTCCCTTGGTTTCTGTTTTTCGCCTTTTTGGCCGAGACTGGTCCGTTTTGGTCGACCGGATGGTGATGGTATGGACTACAGCTCGAACCGTGAAGATTTCCTCGACCTATCTTGAAATTTCGTCGACCAATATTGTATAATATGGCGACTGGTGAAGTTTGGGGTCGTTTGAACGAGTGGTTTGAGATCTCCTTTGAAAAATTTTCAAATTGGCTCCGGGAACGTCTTCCGTCGGTCTTCTCCAATTCTGCTCGTTCCAATCTGGATTTTCTTCTTTAGATGCGATGTGGATGCTTGATGGAGGTGATTTGAGCCGGTGGCCGCGGTAAATGCCGTGATTTGGATTGTCGGCCATTTTACTTGCTCGCGATCGGCCAAATTTCACTCCATCGGCCATCTCTTGAATTGTAAGGAATTCATTGTACTGAAATGAATTTCATCGACCAACCTTATATTTTGTGGCTCCTTGTGAAGTTTGAGGCGATTTGAACGTGTGGATTCGGAGATCTTTCGTCGTGCGCGCCAATGGCTTCGGGATGTGATTCCTTTGGCCATCTCTTAATCTGTTCGATCGTCTCCTTCCTTTCTTCTTCCTTGGTGTTTTTTGGACTCCAGAGGATCAGTTTCCACCGGTGTTCGCGCCTTCTTGAGGTTTTGAGTTCGTCGGCCATTCTATGCATCGCCGTCGGCCGTATTGAGCTTCCTCGTCTATCTCACGTAGCAGGCACTTTTTCTCGTCCTATCTTTTGGATTTGCCGACCAAAATGATGTTTTGAGGTCGCCTGTGAAGTTTGGTGGACTTCGGTCGTGCCGTTTGGGAGATGGTCGAGCATTGTCGCTTGGTTCGTCGATTCTGGCCGAGAGAGTGATTGTGAATGTGATATCTCCTTTTTACTCGGGCCAATTGAGTTCTGCTTCGACCGAACTGTTTTTCTATCCCTCCTGGATTGAATTGTGGTTGGATTTCCCTCATCTCTCATGTTTGGCATGTAAATCCTCCTTTGGCCGGTTGTGGCTTCCTTGCGCGCCATGTTTGTTGATATTTTGAACCGGTTCTTCCTGTCATATTTTATCTGAAAAACACTAGTAACTTTTGTTAAACTCTGTCAATGATTGAGTTGTTCAAAATAGTTTGAACTTCCCAATCAAAGACTTGATCGTGAAACCATATGTACTTGTGATCTTGATCAGAAATCCAAGTAGTGTATGGTTTAATTTGATAGAGATAGTGTTTAAAAGAAATGACAGTAAGAATGGAAGTGATACTTACCTTTGCCTTGTGCAATAGTGTTCCAATGGCCGGATTTTATTGTGCCGCGGCCCTTCTTGGATTCTTTGCTTCTTGAAACATGGGTGGGACTTGGGTGGGACTCAAACTAGACTCAATACTTGACACTTAGACCAAAGATGGTTGATCCTTGGGCCGATTGTGGCGATGTAGCTTTTCCAATGCATTTTTCATGTAAGCCTCCTTTTTGGTACTTTTTCCTAAAACACTTTTTATTTTATTTTTGTAAAATTTATTAAACTCTCAAAAATTTAAGAGTTATAAATAGAACAAATAATAGTTTAAAAAATAAAAACAAAAATAAAAAGAGGAAGGGATAAGAAAATGTGGGTTGCCTCCCACAAGCGCTTGTTTTAAGTCTTTGTAGCTCGACTCCTTTGTGTTCTTAGTTAGGTAGGATTGGTGGCTCCAAGAACTTCCTGTTGCCTGATGATTCCAAGTGCATCTTGTCCTGTAGAACTTCCTTGATCAAGTAGCCATGCGACTCTCCTCTTACTTGTGAGCACTCTCCTCCACTTGTGTAGCGAAATCGCTTGGATGAGAAACCGGGAGGTGCAGCATCGTAGAAGGTGTCCTTGTCAACATTGGCTAGAGAGATTCTTCTATTAGGCCAATCCATGATCGCTCCAGCTGTGGCTAGGAATGATCTTCCAAGCAAAAGCTTTAAGTCCTCCGGATCCTTCATGGTTACTACATAGAAGTTGGCTGGAACTATGCAGCCTCCAAAATCAAGCTGAATGTCTTTAACCTCTCCAAGTGGTTCGGTCAATGATGAATCAGCTAGCTTTAAATCCATTCGAGATTTCACAATTGAATTGATCAATCCCAACTTCTTGGCTATCTCGGCCGGCATAAGGTTCACACTAGAACCGGAATCGCAAAGAGCATCATCAAAGTAGCTTCCATTGATAGAGAAATGTATAAGGAAGTAACCTGGGTCATGAAGCTTGTGTAGAAACCTAGGTTTAGGCATCCCCTTTCTTGCTTCCTCGTACATCTTTTCCAATTCAGCTAGACTCCAATCTTGTGTCCAAGCTAGGTCTTGCATGAATGGACTCTTGTTGCAAGCATTATCAAACGGCACACCATAAGGGAATCTCCTCGCCATAAAGTTGAAATCATCTATGATCTCTTCAAGTGATGATCTTGTCTTCCTCTTCTCCTTGGTGGGAGGCGGTTGTGAAGACCTTTGAGTAAGGGTTCTTCCTTTTGGTGCTATCTTTCTCTTGTTCCAGTGGTTAGCCTTGTGGCTCTTTCTTGATCAGCTCTACTTTCTTCTTCATCCCAAATCACTCTTGGGTCGGTCTCTCTTATAGTAAAGACGGGCGCGGCATGGTTGTGCTTAGGAACGGTCGTCTTTGCCTCGGTCAAGACCTTCTCTTCCAAGTTGGCTAAGCGAGTGGTTAAATCCTTGACTTCCTTGGAGACTCCATCTACTTTGTCTTCAAGCCCTCTAGCTCTTCTTTGAATATCTTGGCTCCTCTTGTCTAGAGAGATGTGTAAATCTCGGATTTGTGCCTTCACTTGTTTTTGCCCTTCCACCAATGTAAGCATCGTCGAGTAACATTGCCTCTCCTTTAGTTCACTTCGGCTACCTCCCTCTTAGCTTGATGAGCTACTGCTGTTATTGAATTGAGACTCTTGGTGGTGCCATCGAGGTTGTTATCAAGACTTGAGATCTTCTCATCTAAGTGATTGTCCATCTCCTTGGTAGAAACTTTGGTAAAGTGTATCGCTCTCCTATTGTCTTCAATGGCCTCGCCTTGCTTCTTCAAATCTTCCTCCATGTCCAAGCATCTTGACTCTACTCTCTCTATTTGGGTAGAGAGTTCTCCAAGTCTTCCATCTAGTTCGTATCGCGTGAACTCTAGCTTTGTCTCAATGTCGCGGCTAGTTTTTCTTTGGCTCTCCATGAAACCCTCAAGCACGGCATCGAAATGGCTATCTCTCCGCCTATTGAGAACATGGTCGTGGTGTGAATGCAACACTGGTCTAGGTGGTTGATGATAAACCGGAGGTCGGTTTTGATGATGATGGTAATGATGCTCGTCTCGGCTAGGTCCTTCAAACGTCGGATGAGCGCGGTTGGGAGGGAACGGATGTGGCACGATGCTTACGGCTGGGTCTTGGTAACTCCGGCCGTGGAGATCGTGTGGGATCAGTGTCCGGTTCCCAAAGTGGATGTTGGTGTTGTGATTCATCTCCAAGTACCTATAAACACAAGATTTAAAAAGAAAAAGTTAGTATTCGAAAATACCAAGATCTAGACTTAGTTTTAAACAAGACTATGCAAGTGTTTATGATGCAATCCCCGGCAACGGCGCCAAAAACTTGATGCGGCATCTATGGGATGAGTACAAGTAATAATTCCCTAAGACAACTAGTGTTGCAAGTGCACAACATATAATTGTAGTATTTAGGGGTCGAACCACAAGGGATTGGATTTCACACATTACATAATCATAGAGTTTAAATGACTAAGCTAAATCAAAAGATGCAAGGGTTTGTGTTTGTTTAGAACACGCAAAAGAAATAACAATGCAATTCTATACAAGCAACATTATTGAACTATTGAAAACTCTTTTGAAAACATGAGCCAAGTCGATTGAAAAGTTTGTTAAAATCCGATTCTTTTGAACTCAAAACACTAAGGAAGGATTATTCCACTTTCGTGGTTCCAATCCCCTATGTCTCTTAAACCAATGGGCTCAGCTTTCGTTGGTCATTGTAGAGTGAGACATGCATTACATCCAAGTAATGATTGTTCACAAAACTCTTTAGGTCTACTTTCGTAGCCTAAAACGATTTGCCCATCAAATATTATGTCCGGAGATATAACAAGCTTTTGGAGAGTATATCAACCTAAAATCAAGTCACTAGTTAGCTACTCTAGCAACAAGCATTAAGCATAAATAAAGATGGAGAACCATAGGGTTTCCCCTTTTAACAATCGATTTTCGATGGCCATTATATCACGTCCTCATTGGAAGGATCCATAATTCAACAATGAGTCTTAGATAGTAGATGAAGTCTCATGAATCCTTAGAGAGAGAGGCGGCGGAATATAGACTAAACCGCCTCACCCTTAGGGAGAAATCTCTACTTCTAGACTATATAAATTGAAACATGCAAGCTATATACAAATGCAAAAGAAGAAAAGAAAGAAGAAGGAGACCACCTAAGTGGCTCCGAACTTTATTGAATAAGTGTTTCTTGTTATGCGGCTGGTGATTCTTATTACAAGAGGCTAAAAGCAAGTATATATAGGTAGAGAGCGGGTCTAGGTCGGCAAAGTTGAGCGCGCGCAGAAGAGGAAAGTTTCCATTTCTCTTTAGCCGCTTGAGCTTGCTCTCCAAGTTCTTGAATGGGCCGCGTTCAGGCCAATGGAAGCTTCTGGATTGAGTTATGCTAGTGTCAAGATGAGCCAAGGCCTTGGGCGCGGTATCTCGGGCCTCTTGATCCATCAAAGTCTCCATGGGCTCTACTTAGGCGCTCGTCGGACATGTCTTGGTAGAAAATAAGTTCCGGTCCAACGAGTGATCCAAATGACCTCTTTCCACTTCGCCGCGGGTCATGACTCAAATATCTATCTTTCCATATAAGAATCATGACTTTTGGACGTCGGGAAGGCATGAATATGCGGTCGTACTTCGGATGCTCCGGTTTGGTCTTTAGCGAGAAATGTAGATTTGGTGCTCTAGACTTGGGAACTTGGTGATTTGACTCTTTTTGCTCCATTTTGGACTCTTCTTTGCTATTTTGACCTGAATGATGCTCAAAACCAGAATATACAAGAAAACTACCTCTTGGGCATAAAAACCACATTATTTGTATTAAAAACATAGTGAAAACCTTGATAAAAACATGAAAGATATGGGTATATCATTGGGTATGGGTAGTCCTTGGGTTGAAACCTTGGGCAAGACTTTGGTGTTGGTGCGGCCATGGGGCATGATAATTGTTCTATCTCCCTTGTTGAGGATTCATATAGTTTGCTTGGTTATTGTGGATGTAGCAGACCTCATGTTTTGTCTCCTCCCCTTCCTGGTCCTTTACTAAGGTTTGTTCTGAGACATAGTTGACATGCTTGGCAGGGAATTGGGCTAGGATCAGTTTGTCCAACTTCGAGTTGAGTGCAAGCATGTCTTTTCGCATTGAGCGTCAGCTCGATCGAGTGCGGGTCGAGCTCCAGTCTGTACTTCATACTTTCTCCATAGCTTCTTTGATAGGCTATGTTCTCCACAAGTTGCCAGCCATCATCTACATCCTGGTTGAGGAAGTTCCCATTGCTAGCTGTGTCTAGCATCTCCCTATACCTAGGCAAGCATCCTCTATAAAGAGTGGAGAGTAGTGATTCATTGTTGAATCCATGGTGTGGGCACTGACTTGTGTACCCTTTGAACCTCTCCCAAGCCTCTGCGAATGTCTCATTGTTTCGCTGGATGAAGCTGGATATCTCTCCTCTAAGCTTGGCTGTGCGACCGGTGGAGAAAAACTTAGCAAGAAAGGCCTTCTTGCATTCATCCCAAGTGGTGATTGTGCCATGGGGCAAGCTCTTCTCCCATTGGTGAGCTTTGTCAGCTAGAGACATAGGAAAGAGTCTCAGCTTGATGGCATCTTCAGAGACACCATTGATCTTTGTCAAATCACAAAGCCTATCAAACTCATCAAGGTGGTCAATGGGGTCTTCACTTGGCAATCCATGGAACATCTTGTTCTGGACAAGGTTGATCATTCCCAGCTTGATCTCAAAGTTGTGGTTCTGCACTGGTGGTGGAACAATCCCTTGTCTCTGTTGGTGGCGGTTTGGAGCATCTCCTTGACCAATCGGTCGAGTTTGCCTAGCTCGACCGAGTCCATTCCCAAAGGGTTTCCATTCCCCTCTGGTACGTCCATTGTATCAGCAACAAGCACCTCAGGTTCCTCTTGTACCCTCTGTGACCTCTGAACCCTCTTTCTACCCGTTGTAAAGTCTAGCTCGACCAAGTCCTCTGTAGACCGACTCGATCGAGTTCGCATACACCTGCAAAAAGAGACAAAAACCCAGCAGTACAATAGAACAGGGGTGGTATAGCTTGATCGTCCAAGTGTGTTTGAAACTCAAATGCAACAAAAATTCCCAAATCGGCAACGGCGCCAAATTGATGATAGGATTTTGTGTGGATGTGATATGAAATGAGGTGGAATGCAAACAGGGGTGAATAAAGATGATGGTATGGTGCAATCACAATCAATCAATTCCTCTTAACCATCATAGTCATTGAAGTATAAGAGGTTATCAATCCAAAATGGGAAACTTGTCACTCTTTGAGAATATGAAACAACCAGAAAGTCAAGCAAGCAGTAATAGATTTGAAGTAACACTAACAACCTAAAAAAATGAAAAGCAGTGCAATAAAAGTAAACAAAGCAGTGAAGTGTCAGCTCGACCAAGACTCGAGTCGAGTAGACAAAGTACCAGCTCGATCGAGTTTAGGGACGAGTTGAGACAAACAAAGCTAAAGGTGACGACTTTAACAAGATAAAGAGAGAATTAGGGTTCAAGACAGGGTTTTGCAATCAAAGGAATCTACACTTAATCAATCTAGCTCTTAAAACTCCTTGTATCAAGGCTTCTCTTGATATTGGGCTTCTCAATGCCTAGCCAACCCTTTCCCAAGGTGGAGGCTATCAACCAAGGAATGATCTCAGAAACAGGGGGTTAGCCAGTGAGAATCAAACCTTGGAGGCTATAGGATCATTGCCCAAACTAATCCATCCAACCCCTTAGACCTCTATTGTCTAGAGCAAGAGATATTGGAGCTCTTAGTGGATCTTTTCCAGCGAATGCCATCACTTTCGTGTGGGGAGTCGCCTAAGGACTTACAAGCCAGGGGTAGTGGTCATGTAGCCTTAAGATCTATCCAAAAGAGAGAGAATCTAGATTAAGACCATAAGCTAGAAGGATTAAGCATATGAAACCTCTAATCTATCCCATCTCAAACCCTAATGGGTAACTACTCACTACACATGAATGTAAACACAAGCAAATGCAATAAAAGAGACATCATAAGAAAGAGGAGATGAAATTAAACAACTTTTATTGAAATAAGCAAGTGCAAATACAAAAGAGATTATCCAGGATCTAGGATTCAAGAAGCAAGAGCTTCAAGAACACAAAGATGGGATTAGATCTCTAAAAAGTAAAAGACAATAAATTAAAAGAAACTAAAACAAAATAATCTAAAGCTTGGTGGTTTTTTCGTGGCTTAGAGCCTTTAAATACAAGAGGATTAGGTTTAGGGTCAAAGGAAAGTCAAGGGGGAAGCAACATTTTTCGGGTTTGACTGTTGACTTCTCAGCTCGATCGAGTTGAAGCTTGGCCGGTCGAGTTGAGGAACTCGACCGGTTGGTCGAGTAGACGGTCGAGCTGGTCTTCAAGATGGCTTCTCCCTTCTTCCTTTGCGTATCCAGTTGAGCTGCGTCCATGTGCCAAGTCCCTCCATGCTCCTTATGTCCCATATGCTCCAGAATGCTCCAAAAGACCTATTTCAAAGGACCAAACATGCATATGTATGCAAATGCAACCTAAAACTAACATGAATGCATAAGAAGAGAAAAGGAACAAGATATGATGCAAATGGAAGCTAAAACTATGCAAAAGATGCATAAAAGATGTGCTAAAACTATGTAAAATGCAAGTACATCACTTGGCCAAGCGTAACAGCCATCTTTAAATTCAGGGTACAACACACCATTATAGGTCTTTATCTCCTCAAACGATCTTGGACCTCTCACGACGTTTAACAGCATTCTCAGATAGTAAGCATCTTCAATCTTCCTTGGTGCGTAATTTATTCTTCCATCGGGATTGAACAAGTCTTTATTGTCCTCCAACGGCAGTTGCTCTGTGCAAGGTTTCTTCGAAGTGGAAGACAGGGCTGGGACACTTTGCATTGATTCAAAGCCACGCTTGGAGGATGGAAAGGTACGGAAAGGTAATTGTTGTGTTCAACGCAATCTCAGTCGCTGAAGGTACCATGAATGTAAGAAATCATAGTGTGTTTACCTCCTCGTAAGACCCAATGGTTGAACCATTATTAATGGCAGTGAGTTGTTCATCACCAGTTTCTGTGTCGAGAATGAGAAGTTCCTTACTTTGTGCACCTTGTAGGTTTTATTTCCGTAATGAATGTGTTCCTTCTCCACACTAACCAGAAACTGATCACAGGATTTGGATGTGATATGAAATCAAATGTGATTATGATATGTGATGGATGCAAGTGAAGATGGAATAAGAATGAGATGGTATGGTGCAATCACAGTCAATCAATTCCTCTTATCATCATAGTCAGAGTAGTATAAGAGGTTATCAATCCAAATGGGTTTGTTGTCACTCTATGAGAATATGCAAACACAAGAAAGTCAAGCAAAATAGTAAAATGATGATGGAAGTAACTCTAACAACCTAAAATGAAATGAAAGTGCAATGCGAATATGAAACAAGCTATGATGCATGAAATAAACAAGAAACAAGCAACTGCAATGCAGCTCGACCTAGAGCTCGATCGAGTAGAAACAGAGCATTACAGCTCGATCGAGTTGGGGGTCGAGTTAGTGTAAAAACAGAGGAATGCGAATGCAAAATGATAAAGGTGCAAACTTTAAGCTACTAAGATGAAGATTAGGGCTAAAGACAGGGTTTTGCAGCTAGAGGGAGCTATACTTAATCAATCTTGCTCTTAAACAACTTGTACTCAAGCTATCTCTTGGTATTGAACTTCTTAGCCTAGCTAACCCTTTCCCAAGGTGAAAGCTATCAGCCAAGGCAAGATCTCAGAAACAGGGGGTCAGCCAGTGAGATCAAGCCTTGAGGCCTTAGAACCTTTGTTCAAACTCACCCATTCAACACCTATAAACCCCATTTCGTGAGGCAAGCATGTTGAAGCTCTTAGTGGACTTGTTCAAACGATTTCCCATTCATTCCCATGAGGAAAATCGCCTAGACTCACACACCATGGATAGTGGTTGTGCAGCCTTAATCTTAGCCCAAAAGAGAGAGATTTTAGATTAAGAACATAAGCAAGAGAGATTAAGCATAAACAACCTCTAACCTAATCTTAAACCCTAAAGGGAACTACTCACTACACATTGCGAAATACATCAACTAAATGCAATGAAATGAGACATTAAAAGATAGAGGAGATGAAATAAACAACTTTTATTGAAATAACAAGTGCAAATACAAATAACAAAGCCTAGATCTAAGGTTCAATGAGCAAGAGCTCAAGAACACAAAGAGAGGCTAAAAAGTTAAAGAAATCAAATTACAAGATTAAATAGAAAGCTAAAGATAAAAAGCAGAAAGAAAGTTGTCTTTTTCGTGGCTACAAGCCTTTAAATAGTAAAGAGATTAGGTTTAGGGTCAAAGGGAAGCAACATTTTTCGGGTTTGACTTTGACTCCCAAGCTCGATCGAGTTGGTCTTGGCCGGTCGAGCTAGTGCAAAGTTGGAATTTGGCCTAGCTCGACCAGTTGGTCGCGCGGGTTGGTCGAGCTGGCTTCAAGGCGGCTTCCTTCTTCATCTGAGCATGCGCGGTCAAGCTGAGCTCCAAGCACAATGTCCTTCCTTGCTCCTCACGTCCCAAGTGCTCCATAGTGCTCCAAATAGACCTGTTTAAGGATCAAACATGCACATGTATGCAAATGCAACCTAAAACTACAATGTATGCATAAGAAAGGAAAAGGAACAAGATATGATGCTAATGAATGCTAAAACTATGCAAAAGATGCATAAAAGATGTACTAAAACTATGTAAAATGCAAGTACATTAGAAACTCGTAGCTGTTTCCAACTAAGCTCCTGATGGCATCAGGTAATAAGTCTGGATCTTAAATCTGTTTTCAAATAATAGATATGCTTCTAGTAAAAAGATGACTATGTTCAAAACTATATTTGTTAGCTTCAGATTATGATATTACCTCATCATAGGATCCGTTTAGCAGAAATGATGCTGTCTTTGTCACAAACCCAGCTGCAACTATGTCAAGCAACATAACCTTTTCGCTGTCTCATCCTCAACCAGAAGGAGCAGCTTGAACCTGTATGTGACAATATTCCATGTTATTAAAATACTTACATTATCTCATATACTATGTATCAAATTCGATTGACAAAATGTATTAGAAGTACTCACTTTAGTGACAAGATTTTGACATTTGTTTTGCATCTGTCGCAGTACCATATAGGTACATTGGGACGTGGTTTGGTGGGTGCTTCCTTCTTCAGATCTTTGGTAAATCTGTATTGACACTTTCCACATCCGAAATAGTACCAACCCCAGTCCGTATCTATTCCATAAACTTTGCAGAAAATCCTGAATTTCTCAACCTGCCATGAGATATTATTTCTAAGGTAAGTAAATCATTCTCTTATCGCACAAGATATTTTACCTTGAGTATGCTGCAAGAATACATATAAGTACATCATAGTATAGACCTCGGTAGCATTTTGAATGTCATATACCGATTTTGTGTCCAACGCCAGCCACTATTCTTCCTTCTCTTTTATCCTCTATTTCACTTTCTCTTGATCATCCTCTTTGATGAAAATAATCGCACCATCATCTGGAAAACTGTAGTATCAATTAATAGGTTAGTCTGAGATCATATATTCTGACAAAGACAAAACTATATCAAAATCAAATTTAAACATATTACTAACCCATGCATGAAAGCTTCTGCCTCAGGTACCGGGACAGATCTGATCTCACTCACATCAAGAACCTGTCCCATGACATATGCAAAAGATATAGACAATTTTCCAAGAAGGATATGTAAGTTGCCCAATTTGTACGTTTAATAATGTAGATTATAATCACCTTAGTTTACTTACCAATCAAGAAATTGTGATTCAAACCACGATCTAGGATCCTTTGGATAGGTACCAATGAAAGGAATATGTCTTCACATTTGATGGTGCATTTGCTTACCACCATGTTCATAAACAACGACATCTTCCACTTGCTACTAATTGGTCGAAATTGTCCGGTTGCGGGAGATAAGGTAAAGTTCTCCAACACTTTCCATTCCCCATCTTGCAACTCATTTGATAAGTGGCCTATATCCTTCTTCTTGAAAATATATACGGCACTCTTATGTCATAACCCAAACTGAAACTTTTGATTAAGAATCAAATGAACTACAGATTGTCAACTTACATGTTCATCTGCGAGAACCAGCTCCATTGTTTCACCGGACATGCCGCTAAACTGGCTCCAGGAGTGAAGAACCTTAACGCGAACCTTCCAAGATGACTTGAAAGATCTCACATCAGCAAGCTTGGTGAATGCGGAACCAATAGTCATTTCTACAAATCTAGGGTAAAACTTCTCTGTTTGATAACATTTATTGTGACAATGACTACCTATTTATAATGTACGTAGGTAGTTTCACTTATGCCTAGGGTTTCGGAGATTTCAGAATTGATCACCATCACATATTCGAATGGAAATATAATCTGTATAGCTTGGAAAAATTTCTTAATTTATTCATTTAGACATTTAATAGTATCTGCAGTGATGATGTACTCATATTTTACATGTTTTTAGTACATCTTTTGTACTACTTTTGCATACTCTCACTCTTCATTAGCATCATATCTTGTTGTTTTCTTCTTCATTTTCATTCTTAGTGCATTAGGCTTGATCTTGCATACATGTACATTTTTGAGCCTTAATCAGGTCATTATGGAGCATTTTGGAGCATTTGAGTCTTGAGGAGCAAGGAAGGAGCTTGCATGGACCACCACTCGATCGCGCAGCTCAGGATGTCCAAAGGTGGCGCCTTTATGTCCAGCTCGACCCAGCCGTTCGACCAACCGATCGAGCTTGGCCAAAATTTTCCAACATTACACTAGCTCGACCGGCCAAAAGACGACTAGCTTCCCTTTGACCTCCTTTGACCTTAAACACTAGTTTGTTTCCTATAAAAGGCAAAGAACCACGAATTAATCACAACTTTTGCTTAATCTTTTAATTTTCCTTTGTTCTTTTAGCTTTTAGCCACTTCTTTGTGTTCTTAAGCTTTTGCTCATTGGATCTTAGATCTTGGCTTTGTTATTGCGAATTTGTACTTGCTTATCTCTAATAAAGTTGTTTATCTTGCTTCCCTTTATCTATTGATGTTTATTTCATTAAGTTTTGTTGGTTCCTTCATCATGTTTACTGAGTAGTTCCATCATTAGGGTTAGAGATGGGTTAGATTAGGAGTTGTTTATACTTAATCCTTGTTGCTTAGTGTTCTTAATCTAGAAATCTCTCTCTTTTGGGCTAGGCTTTATGCGACACAACCACTATCCATGGTGTGTTTGATTTTATGTGATTATCATCATGTAAATGAGTTGATAATCACTTGAACAAGCCCACTAAGAGCTTTAGCATGCCTGTCTCACGAAAGTGACAGTTCATGGGTGCTAAAGGGTGAGTTTGAACAAAGTTTCTATAACCTTCAAGGATTGATTTCACTGGCTGACCCCCTTGATTGATGATTTTCACCTTGGGAAAGGGTTAATCAGCCTTTAGAAGTTCAAAACCAAGAGATTAGCTTGAGTACAAGCTGTTTAAGAGCATCATTGATTAAGTATAACCTTCTCCTAGTTGCAAAACCCCATATTTAAGCCTAATCATTATCATTCTAGTCTAAAAACCGCATCTTTATTTCTTAGCATTTGCATTTGCTATGTTTCCCCTGTTTTTACTCTGTTTTAAGCCTAGCTCGATCGAGTTCATTTCCTCTCTGTTTTTGTACCAACTCGATCGAGCCCATCTGCATTCGCTTATCTCTGTCTAGTTTCTTGCATTCACTGCTTTGTTTAGATTCACATTTACTGTTTACTTGCATTTCATTTCATTAGGTTACATCCATCACCTTTAAATCATTTGGCTTGACTTCCAAGCATTTACATAATCTTATAGAGCAACAATCATTTCCCATTATGGATTGATAACCTCTTGTACTACATTGACATGATGCTGCATAGAGGAATTGCATAACTTTAATCTGACATGTCTTTCATTTATCATAGTTATCCACCTTATCTCATTCCATATCATCACCCACAGGAAAATCCTCTCATCAATTTGGCGCCCTTGCCATTTGGGATTTGTTTTGTTGCATTTAAGATTCCAATTTGCTTGAACGATCAAGTATTATACCACATCTCTTGTTGCTTGTTCTATCTGCTGGGTTTTTGACTTTTTCTTTTCAGGTGTATGCGAACTCGATCGAGCTCTTCCACAGAGGACTTGGTCGAGTTAGATATCAACATTGGAAAAAAAAAACAGAGAAAGAAGAACCAAAGACATCAGGCCGAGCAAGAGGTGACAGTTACTGATAGAACGGATGTGCCACAGGGTAATGGAATCCCTCCTAACAATAGGAATGGTCAAGCTAGGTAGAGCCGACCTATTGGGCTTGGAGATGCCCCAAATACACACCACCAAAGGCAAGGGATTGTGCCTCCACCCGTCTAGAACCACAACTTCAAAATCAAGATGGGAATGATCAATCTAGTGCAGAACAAGATGTTTCATGGATTGTCGTGTGAAGATCCCATTGATCACTTGAGTGAGTTTAATAGGCTGTGTGATTTGACAAAGATCAATTATGTCTCTGAATATGCTATTAAGCTGCGCCTCTTTCCACTATCTCTTGGTGAGAAGGCCCATCAATGGAAGAAGAGTTTACCCCACTACTTGGGATGATTGCAAGAAGGCATTTCTTGCCAAGTTCTTCTCTACTGATCGCACTGCTAAGATGAGGAGTTAGATTTTTGGTTTCACACAGAAGAATAATGAGACATTTGCTGAAGCTTGGGAGAGATTCAAAGGCTATACAAGTCAGTGCCCTCATCATGGCTTCAACAATGAGTCATTGCTTTCCACTCTATACAGAGGAGTTTTTCCTAGATACAGAGAGATGCTGGACACATCTAGTAATGGAAACTTCCTCAATCAAGATGTGGATGATGGATGGCAGCTTGTAGAGAACATTGCTAACTCAAATGGGAGTTATGGGGAAGAGTATGATCGTACTAATCGGAGCTCGATCGAGTCAGAGGAGAAATTGAGAAAGGATATGAAAGTGCTCAATGACAAGTTAGACAAGCTGATCTTGGCGCAATCCCCACTGACAAAGGTGAACTTTATTTCCGGTGAAGAGTTAGTACAAGTCCAAGAAGGGGAGGAGAATCAGATTGAAGATGTTTGCTACATTCAGAATGGCCAAGGAGGATATCAGAAAGGTTATTACACCTATAAGACTCATCCCAACTTTTCTTATAGGAACACTGATGTTGCTAGTCCTCAAGATCAAGTTTACCCTTCCCAGCACCAGCCTGCATCGAGTCAGTTTCCACAGTTTGGTTATGGTCATAAAGGAAACTTCTAGGGATACCAAACAAGTTTTCAAAGGCAACCACAGAGTGTACCACATAGCTTCGCCCCTTTACCACCTCAACCTACTGCTGGTCGGGAACTGGACATGAAAGCAATCTTACAACAACTTCTACAAGGACAGGCCAAAGGAGCGATTGATATGAGTACCAAGCTAGCTGAGATAAACACTAAGATTGAGTCACCGCATTCAAGAGTTTAGACAATTGAATCATCTAGTGCCCCTTTTACTTCATCACAAAAGGAGTATGTCCATGCAGTGATGTTAAGAAGTGGTAGACTACTCCTTAACAGAGATGGTTCAACTCAAATCGCTGTGGACATCGATGATAAGGAAGGGGAGGATTTGGTTGAGATGGAGAAAATCCCTGCACCCAACTCGATCAAGCCAGAGCCAAACAATTAAACTGAACTCGATCAAGCCCCTGAACGTGAACAAGTTCAGACTGAGCTCGATCAAGCGACTAACCAGCCGAGAAAGCCAATCCTAGTTCGCCTCCTAAGCCTTCCAGCAAGAAGAAGGACACTCCATTTGTGCCACCAGCTTACAAACCTCCTTTGCCTTTCCCATGAAGGTTAAAAAAACAGCTAATGGAAAAGCACAAGGCTAAGTTTGATAAACTCATGAAGGAGATTGACCTGAAGCTGCCTTTTATTGATGCATTAATGCTCATCCCTCCTTACCAGAAGTTCCTGAAAGATGCTATATCTTCGCCTTAGTAGTTTAAAGTTTGCACCTTTATTGCTTTTCATTCGCTTTGCTCTATTTTTACACTAACTCGACCCCCAAATCGATCGTGCTGACTTGCTCTGTTTCTACTCGATCGAGCCCTAGGTCGAGCTGCCTTACAGTTGCTTGTTTCTGGTTTAGTTCATGCATTCTTAGCTTGACTCATCCTCCTTTATCTATTTGGCTTGACTTTCTTGTGTTTGCATATTCTCATATAGTGACAACAAATCCTTATGGATTGATAACCTCTTATGCTGCATCGACTATAATGATTAAGAGGAATTGATTGACTGTGATTGCATCTGTTCACCATACCATCTCATTACCATTCACACTTGTTGCATCCATCTCATATCATATCATTATTTTCATTCCATATCACCATCAAATCCTGTCATCAATTTGGCGCCGTTGCCATTTGGGTTTGAATACAGTTGCATTTGAGTTTCCAAATCACTTGGACGATCAAGTACTATCCCACCTATGTTGTTTGTACTGCTGGGTTTTTTTACTGTTTTGCAGGTGTATGCGAACTCGATCGAGCTCATCTACTGAGGACTTGGTCGAGTTAGACATTAACATAGGCAGGAAACAAAGAAAGAAGAGCTAGAGGTGTTTGTTACAGATACTATGGCTGATCCAGAGGGTAATGGAAACCCTTTAGGTAATGGACAGGGTCGAGTAAGGCAAACTCGACCCATTGGACTTGGAGATGCCCCAAATCGCCACCAGCAAAGACAAGGGATTGTTCCTCCTCCTGTCCAGAACCACAACTTTGAGATCAAGCTGGGAATGATCAATCTTGTGCAGAACAATATGTTCCATTGGCTCTCAAGTGAAGACCCAATAGATCACCTTGATGAGTTTGATAGGTGATGATAGGATTTGTGTGTGATGTGAAATATGAAATTATATGAGGTGGAATGCAACAGTGGTAAATGAAGATGGGATGGTATGGTGCAAACACAATCACAATCAATCAATTCCCCTTAACCATCATAGTCGATGTAGTATAAGGGGTTATTAATCTAAAAGGGTGAAACGATGCTCTATGAGAATATGCAATCACAAGAAAGTCAAGCAGACAATAAAATAGGTGATAAGTGACTCTAACAACCTAAAGAAATGAAATGCAGTGCAATAAGTAATAGAAAGCAGTAAAGCAAGCAGCTCGACCAAAGCTCGGTCGAGTTGAGGGTCGAGTTAGCGTAAAAAGCGATAAAGGCAGGAACTTTAACAAGCTAATGCGAATATTAGGGTCTACGACAGGGTCTTACAACTAGGGGAAGACTATACTTAATCAATCTTGCTCTTAAACAACTTGTATTAAGGTATCTCTTGATATTGAGCTTCTCAATGCCTAGCTAGCCCTTTCCCAAGGTGAAAACTATCAATCCAAGGCAAGATCTTAGAAACAGGGGGTTAGCCAGTCAGAGTCAAGCCTTGGAGGCAGTAGGATCATTGCTCAAACTAATCCATCTAACGCCTATGATCTCCATTTCGAGAGCAAGGTTTATTGGAGCTCTTAGTGAGGGAAATCGCTTGAAAAGGTCCACTAAGAGCTCCAATAAACCTTGCTCTCGAAATGGAGTCATAGGCGTTGATGGATTAGTTTGAGCAATGATCCTACTGCCTCCAAGGCTTGACTCTGACTGGCTAACCCCCTGTTTCTGAGATCTTGCCTTGGATTGATAGCTTTTCACCTTGGGAAAGGGCTAGCTAGGCATTGAGAAGCTCAATATCAAGAGATACCTTGAATACAAGTTGTTTAAGAGCAAGATTGATTAAGTATAGTCTTCCCCTAGTTGTAAGACCCTGTCTTAGACCCTAATATTCGCATTAGCTTGTTAAAGTTCCTGCCTTTATCGCTTTTTACGCTAACTCGACCCTCAACTCGACCGAGCTTGGTTACTCTGTTCCCACTCCTCGAGCTGGTCGAGCTGCTTGCTTTACTGCTTTCTATTACTTATTGCACTGCATTTCATTTCTTTAGGTTGTTAGAGTCACTTATCACCTATTTTATTGTCTGCTTGACTTTCTTGTGATTGCATATTCTCATAGAGCATCGTTTCACCCTTTTAGGATTATAACCCCTTATACTACATCGACTATGATGGTTAAGGGGAATTGATTGATTGTGATTGTGTTTGCACCATACCATCCCATCTTCATTTACCACTGTTGCATTCCACCTCATATAATTTCATATTTCACATCACACACAAATCCTATCATCACCTATCAAACTCATCAAGGTGATCTATTGGGTCTTCACTTGAGAGCCAATGGAACATATTGTTCTGCACAAGATTGATCATTCCCAGCTTGATCTCAAAGTTGTGGTTCTGGACAGGAGGAGGAACAATCCCTTGTCTTTGCTGGTGGCGATTTGGGGCATCTCCAAGTCCAATGGGTCGAGTTTGCCTTACTCGACCCTGTCCATTACCTAAAGGGTTTCCATTACCCTCTGGATCAGCCATAGTATCTGTAACAAACACCTCTAGCTCTTCTTTCTTTGTTTCCTGCCTATGTTAATGTCTAACTCGACCAAGTCCTCAGTAGATGAGCTCGATCGAGTTCGCATACACCTGCAAAACAGTAAAAAAACCCAGCAGTACAAACAACATAGGTGGGATAGTACTTGATCGTCCAAGTGATTTGGAAACTCAAATGCAACTGTATTCAAACCCAAATGGCAACGGCGCCAAATTGATGACAGGATTTGATGGTGATATGGAATGAAAATAATGATATGATATGAGATGGATGCAACAAGTGTGAATGGTAATGAGATGGTATGGTGAACAGATGCAATCACAGTCAATCAATTCCTCTTAATCATTATAGTCGATGCAGCATAAGAGGTTATCAATCCATAAGGATTTGTTGTCACTATATGAGAATATGCAAACACAAGAAAGTCAAGCCAAATAGATAAAGGAGGATGAGTCAAGCTAAGAATGCATGAACTAAACCAGAAACAAGCAACTGTAAGGCAGCTCGACCTAGGGCTCGATCGAGTAGAAACAGAGCAAGTCAGCACGATCGATTTGGGGGTCGAGTTAGTGTAAAAATAGAGCAAAGCGAATGAAAAGCAATAAAGGTGCAAACTTTAAACTACTAAGGCGAAGATATAGCATCTTTCAGGAACTTCTGGTAAGGAGGGATGAGCATTAATGCATCAATAAAAGGCAGCTTCAGGTCAATCTCCTTCATGAGTTTATCAAACTTAGCCTTGTGCTTTTCCATTAGCTGTTTTTTTAACCTTCATGGGAAAGGCAAAGGAGGTTTGTAAGCTGGTGGCACAAATGGAGTGTCCTTCTTCTTGCTGGAAGGCTTAGGAGGCGAACTAGGATTGGCTTTCTCGGCTGGTTAGTCGCTTGATCGAGCTCAGTCTGAACTTGTTCACGTTCAGGGGCTTGATCGAGTTCAGTTTAATTGTTTGGCTCTGGCTTGATCGAGTTGGGTGCAGGGATTTTCTCCATCTCAACCAAATCCTCCCCTTCCTTATCATCGATGTCCACAGCGATTTGAGTTGAACCATCTCTGTTAAGGAGTAGTCTACCACTTCTTAACATCACTGCATGGACATACTCCTTTTGTGATGAAGTAAAAGGGGCACTAGATGATTCAATTGTCTAAACTCTTGAATGCGGTGACTCAATCTTAGTGTTTATCTCAGCTAGCTTGGTACTCATATCAATCGCTCCTTTGGCCTGTCCTTGTAGAAGTTGTTGTAAGATTGCTTTCATGTCCAGTTCCCGACCAGCAGTAGGTTGAGGTGGTAAAGGGGCGAAGCTATGTGGTACACTCTGTGGTTGCCTTTGAAAACTTGTTTGGTATCCCTAGAAGTTTCCTTTATGACCATAACCAAACTGTGGAAACTGACTCGATGCAGGCTGGTGCTGGGAAGGGTAAACTTGATCTTGAGGACTAGCAACATCAGTGTTCCTATAAGAAAAGTTGGGATGAGTCTTATAGGTGTAATAACCTTTCTGATATCCTCCTTGGCCATTCTGAATGTAGCAAACATCTTCAATCTGATTCTCCTCCCCTTCTTGGACTTGTACTAACTCTTCACCGGAAATAAAGTTCACCTTTGTCAGTGGGGATTGCGCCAAGATCAGCTTGTCTAACTTGTCATTGAGCACTTTCATATCCTTTCTCAATTTCTCCTCTGACTCGATCGAGCTCCGATTAGTACGATCATACTCTTCCCCATAACTCCCATTTGAGTTAGCAATGTTCTCTACAAGCTGCCATCCATCATCCACATCTTGATTGAGGAAGTTTCCATTACTAGATGTGTCCAGCATCTCTCTGTATCTAGGAAAAACTCCTCTGTATAGAGTGGAAAGCAATGACTCATTGTTGAAGCCATGATGAGGGCACTGACTTGTATAGCCTTTGAATCTCTCCCAAGCTTCAGCAAATGTCTCATTATTCTTCTGTGTGAAACCAAAAATCTAACTCCTCATCTTAGCAGTGCGATCAGTAGAGAAGAACTTGGCAAGAAATGCCTTCTTGCAATCATCCCAAGTAGTGGGGTAAACTCTTCTTCCATTGATGGGCCTTCTCACCAAGAGATAGTGGAAAGAGGCGCAGCTTAATAGCATATTCAGAGACATAATTGATCTTTGTCAAATCACACAGCCTATTAAACTCACTCAAGTGATCAATGGGATCTTCACACGACAATCCATGAAACATCTTGTTCTGCACTAGATTGATCATTCCCATCTTGATTTTGAAGTTGTGGTTCTAGACGGGTGGAGGCACAATCCCTTGCCTTTGGTGGTGTGTATTTGGGGCATCTCCAAGCCCAATAGGTCGGCTCTACCTAGCTTGACCATTCCTATTGTTAGGAGGGATTCCATTACCCTGTGGCACATCCGTTCTATCAGTAACTGTCACCTCTTGCTCGGCCTGATGTCTTTGGTTCTTCTTTCTCTGTTTTTTTTTTCCAATGTTGATATCTAACTCGACCAAGTCCTCTGTGGAAGAGCTCGATCGAGTTCGCATACACCTGAAAAGAAAAAGTCAAAAACCCAGCAGATAGAACAAGCAACAAGAGATGTGGTATAATACTTGATCGTTCAAGCAAATTGGAATCTTAAATGCAACAAAACAAATCCCAAATGGCAAGGGCGCCAAATTGATGAGAGGATTTTCCTGTGGGTGATGATATGGAATGAGATAAGGTGGATAACTATGATAAATGAAAGACATGTCAGATTAAAGTTATGCAATTCCTCTATGCAGCATCATGTCAATGTAGTACAAGAGGTTATCAATCCATAATGGGAAATGATTGTTGCTCTATAAGATTATGTAAATGCTTGGAAGTCAAGCCAAATGATTTAAAGGTGATGGATGTAACCTAATGAAATGAAATGCAAGTAAACAGTAAATGTGAATCTAAACAAAGCAGTGAATGCAAGAAACTAGACAGAGATAAGCGAATGCAGATGGGCTCGATCGAGTTGGTACAAAAACAGAGAGGAAATGAACTCGATCGAGCTAGGCTTAAAACAGAGTAAAAACAGGGGAAACATAGCAAATGCAAATGCTAAGAAATAAAGATGCGGTTTTTAGACTAGAATGATAATGATTAGGCTTAAATATGGGGTTTTGCAACTAGGAGAAGGTTATACTTAATCAATGATGCTCTTAAACAGCTTGTACTCAAGCTAATCTCTTGGTTTTAAACTTCTAAAGGCTGATTAACCCTTTCCCAAGGTGAAAATCATCAATCAAGGGGGTCAGCCAGTGAAATCAATCCTTGAAGGTTATAGAAACTTTGTTCAAACTCACCCTTTAGCACCCATGAACTGTCACTTTCGTGAGACAGGCATGCTAAAGCTCTTAGTGGGCTTGTTCAAGTGATTATCAACTCATTTACATGATGATAATCACATAAAATCAAACACACCATGGATAGTGGTTGA